CCCCCCCCCGCCGCCCAATGAAAAAACCAATTAACCCATCAACTCAACACAGATTATATGTGATTTCATTCTTATAGGGGTGATATAATATCTTTCATGAGAAAAATAGCATTAGAGAAGTAAATGTACAGTAACACTAAGGACACAAGTATACTTATTAATCAAATAAATCTTACATTTTATCTGGTAATAAGTAATACATTTTCTCTGTGTATGTAAATATCTAAATAAAAAGACTCCAGTTAGGTCCTTTATCATTTGTTAGCCACAACTCAGAACAAGTAAATACTTCAAGAACAACAAATAGAGAGAGTTTAAAACTATGGTCACAGGGTTCTAGTACCCTGGATCCTGTATCAAAAGAATTCTGAAAATATGATTACATTAAACATATAACAACTAAAAAAAGGTGCTGTTAAACTGTGAAAATTTGCATTGTTCGTAAGATTTTGTATGAATGACTGTATTATCAAAATGGAAATAAAAATGAGCAATAAACATCAAGAATATATATAGGCACACAGTAAAAAACAGAGTAATAATATAAATATCATGGATAGTATATAATAAATAAATATAGGTTTATAAAATATATTCATATTATACATGTATAGAACCAGAACTCTTGGGGAGGTGATATCTTTTACTAGATCAACTGGATAGTTTGGTTAAATATAGGTGAGTAATTATATCTATAGGTGCATATAAATATAAGGGAATAAATATATCTATATATTTATGGATATACTTTGTAACTATGTTGGTCTACAGGCAAAAGTAATCAGGACTCTTGGGGAGATGATATCTTTTTACTTTTGCCTGCAGATCAACATGGCTACAACCTGTATTCGTAAATATAGATATATTTATTCCCCAATTTTTATATATTACATACAATCCATGATGTTTATATCATTGCAAGGGTTTTTGGTTGTAGCCGTGTTGGTCTATGGACACAAGCAGGCACGGTTCTTCTAGATGTGACATCTTTTGTTGGTCTAATAAAAGATATTATCACAGCTAAGAGTCTCACCTGCTTATGTCATGACTGTATTTATTGAGGCTTGTGCACAGTCAAGTTATATTTGAAACATCTCAAACATACAAAGTGCACATTTATTTTGCAAACTGCAATTTGAGGGGCTGATGCAGCAGGTTCTCTTGAACACTCTCAGGTCAACAGCAGCTCAGGTCTCGCAGTCACGTGCACTGACAGCACTAACAGGGCCTCACGGCGCTCACCCCGACGGAGCTCCAACCCCAGAGGGCGCTGCAAGGGGCGCGCTGTCACTCAACGCTCAAGCTCCGCCCACCGCCCCGCCCCGCGGCGGAGAGTGGACCCGGATGGGACGCTCGCCTCCCTTGGGCATGCGTGTTCTCCCCGCCCCCTCAGAGCAGACCACGTGACAGCGTTGCGCCCGGTGCACGCTGGGGATTGTAGTCCCTCAGGGAGCCACTTCCGCCTTTGTCTGCCTGGCCGATGACTCGACTATTCGCCCGCGCGGAGGCTGCTGGGAGCCGTAGTCCTGCTGTCGCCCGGCAGCGCTAAGTCTCGCGGCGGGGTCCGGC